TGACGATCCACACTTCCCGCAAACCGCGTTAACGGACATACATCGCTGTTGGGTATGCCCAAACCTTTGACACTTGAAGCAGCGCAAAGGGTTCGGCACATACTGCCGCACACGGAGGTTGTAGAAAGCGGTAACGATCCTTTCCGGGAGGGATGGTCGGTCAAAAGTAAGGATCAGGGTAGAAGTAGGGATCACTTTCCCCTGCTCCTTCCTTCCGATCCTGTACACCTCAGTCACGCCATGGGTCTTAAAAAAGTTTAGAAGATCTTCCTCCGTTTCAGTAGCAAAGTCCTCGTGGTTGACTACGCCTTTGCTCAGGTTCAAGGTGGGATGAACCGTGACTACTACCTGGAGGCCGGCAATCTGCTTCGTATTTTGAATTTTTACAATCTGCTCGTCGGTACGCGCTTCAAAAAGAATGGTTCCATTCCTTTGTCGCACGACCGCTTGGAGCTTCCCGTAGGCTTCTTCGATGGCTCGCGCCAGACGGACAGCACTCACAGTTTTGAAAGTCTTACCTTCCTCGGCACATGCCATGAGGAGGAAACGAGGCTTCTTGGGTCGATCTTCTTCTCTAGAAAAGAAACTATTCAAATCAATAGTTCTCTCGGCACATCTCNTCGTCGGTACGTGCTTCAAAAAGAATCGTTCCGTTCCTCTGACGCACGACCGCTTGGAGCTTCCCGTAAGCCTCTTCTATGGCTCGCGCCAGACGGACAGCACTTACAGTTTTAAAAGTTTTACCTTCCTCAGCGCATGACATGAGGAGGAAACGAGGCATCTTGGGTCGATCTTCTTCTCTAGAAAAGAAACTATTTAAGTCAATGGTTCTTTCGGCACATCTCCTCTTCCTTGCGGAAGAGGGCGGGGGGAAAGGTGAAATATCCATATAGATGGAATAGGTTCATCCTCGTGGTCCCCACCCACCACGGAGCCCAACAAGGGGACACTCCATCGGAGTGCCAGGGTTGCCACGAGGATATAGTGGGGGAATAACACAGCGCTGCACCGCCGTGGATTCCCCCGCTCACCCTGGAGTTCAGTACAAGACCTAGTCCGAGCCGATTGATCGGGAGTGGGTTAGCTCCCGACCGCCCGTCTAGAAGAGTCCGGGGCCAAAGCGAGTGTGTTGGAACCTACAGGGAATGTTCCCCAAAATACGTAATCAACGTACTCCTTAGTGCAAGGCGAACAGTAGCACTAGGACTAGATAGGGAAACAAACAGGTCCCNTTCTTCCCGGAGGAAGAAGCTATTTAGATCAACTGTTCTGTCACATCTCCTCTTCCTTGCAGAAGAGGGCAGGGGGGGTTGTTGAGTATCCATGAGATGGATATAAATTCATCTCCGTGCTCCCCACCCACCATGGAGTCCAACAAGGGGACACCCCACTGGGGTGCCAGGGCTGACACGAAGATATAGTAGGGGAATGTCACAGCGCTGCACCGCCGTGGATCCCCCCGCTCACCCTGGAGTTCAGTGCAAGACCTAGTCCGAGCCGATTGATCGGGAGTGGGTTAGCTCCCGACCGCCCGTCTAGAAGAGTCCGAGGCCAAAGCGAGTGTATTGACACCTACAAGGAATGTTCCCCAAAAATACGTAGACGTACCCCTTAGTGCAAGCCAAAAAAACATAGCACCAGGACTAGTTGGGAAACAAACAGGTCTCTCAACTGCCAGGACACACATTCCCTCCGACACGGGTCGCCATGCACGGCAAACACATGGGTGGGCGTTCAGCATACAGAGAAGGCCAGTGAGGAAGAAAAAGGAGTGAAAAGAACGTACATGACATGAAATGAGAAGCAAGAAGATGAAAAAATGGAGAAAGGAACACTTGAGAGCCTTCTCTGCATCCCCCCGTCAGGACGTGGACCAACCCACC